CAGGTATCAACTTCCACTATATGAATCATATATTTCATACATACTTGGTTGACATACAAGCCAAACTAGACCATATCAAACCACAAAATAAAAAATAATAATCATACAGGACTAAGTCTAAAGTGGTTGTGATTATGGAAGGTTGTAACAAATAGATGGGGAATAACACGAGAATAGTCAATCGTATGATAATGGTCATCATGTTAAATAAGAGTTTATGATAAAGGAAATGAAAATCTATAAAATCTATAAAATAAGAATATATATGTAATAGCGATTCATAAATCGTTCTCAGATGTTACCCAAATTTTAATCTTCGTCAAGTTATAACAACTAAGAATAATGTTCACTGGTTTTGGCACCCCAAAAATATAATCTCGCTGTGTGAATAGCTGAAAAGTTATTGTTACTCAATAAATCTTCATTCAAGTACTGAAATGCCTTACATTCTTAACTCGAGGTACGTAGACACTTCTCAGTGACCGCATAATAGATACTCATGGTTATAAATCCGCCACTATTTATAACCTTTCACCTCTAGCTATTCTCCAATGACGTCACAGGTATTCAGAGTTTGATAACGCTTCTACTAATAACTCCCATATAATCAAAGTATGCCAACCCAGCCGAATCATAGGTCAGAAGTCCGAAGATATATTTGGAAGACCATTGATATGCCAAGAAGCGTTTGATTTAAGCTGGGTAACGGTTGTAAGAGATGCGTGGTATGAAGTACCCACTCGTGTTATAGTGTAGATGCGTGGCCGAGTCCCTTAAAATAAGTGTTTGCAGTGAAACTGATAAGGTCAGCATCAAATGTCCAAGACTTAACGAACTATTTATTTCGGGATTTATTTATCGCCACAATATACTATATCATTTTACTTCACTAATCATGACACCTATGTTACAAATTAACCATGGTCCCGAAGCAAATGAGTTCGCTCAGTTTTCAGATAAATCTGCCACCAAATACAAGTTGGATTTAGCCGAATATATAGATTTGTAGCGTGGCGTCGTGTCGAGATTGACTATCAACACCGCTACCAAGAAGCTCGTTCCAAATGACTCCATAAAATCCCCGAGAAGCCAAATATCAGAAAACAATTAATGGACCAAATCGAGGTTTATTTGCTGGCGATCTCGTGGTATCGAACGGATACCAAGATCGTGCCAGGATACAAGCTTGATTACAGAACGTAACCGAATTCGCGCGAAGTTACAATCAAAGTGTGTGAATAAGAATAGAAGCACAAAATAGCTGTCATTAGCACAGTCAAACAAAAGCACATTAAAACAAATACTGGTACAGTTGGTTATAATAATAATTGTTTTTATTAAACCAGTCGTGTTCTCGCGATAAATGTGAGTCACTTCAGATTAATGTCAAATGAATCAACCACGTATCTGCCGTTGTAACCTAATATCAAGACACAAACACACTACAAATCTTCAAATATCTGCATTGCCTGACTTGATGGGTACTAAGACATGGTCAGTTTTGCTAAGTTGAACATTAAGAAATAGCTGACACCACCTTTCACCTTGTGTAGAATAGACCAAGATGTTTATTTTTAGCTCATTTAAAGTTATAGTACCTGAGTGGTTAGACTACACATATTAGACGATACAAAAGACCTGAAGCCATGTTTTAACATTAAGAAGTCAGCTCACAAAATCTATTTAGTATATACTTGATATTTGCAAAGCATTGAGTACTACTCAATAAAAGACTGACATCAGGGAATGGAAGTTCATCAAACAGTCCTTGAGACTCAAAAACATACTGACTCAGCATGTGACGATACTAGCCAGGAAGGATGATGATTTTAGAACCCGTCTAATGAAGATAACCTTCCCATCTTAACATATGGCGGCTGTAACTTTAGAAGCATTTCGTGCCAACAGACGTCGACTGCCACCTGGAATCCACATGCACCCGGATAGGCCATACGAAGCTAGGACCAAGCACAAAGGCAAGTTGAAGCTGACCATTCCACTTGTGGATTGTCTAGACGATAACAAAAACGTGCAAAAGACAGGGCCTACCACCTCGGCGAACCTCATATAGGTGGGCTACCTGTCCATTCACGTAATGCTCATACAGACAAACAGGAAGAAGCTCACGCGTTCCAAACTGAAAGCATAAACTGCTTATACATGAACGCCACGAGTCTACCAAACAAATTGGATCAACTAGGTGAACTTAGCAACGCTAATAAGGCCCATCTGATAGGAATATCTGAAACACGAATATCTTCTCAGTTCTCGGACCATGAGTTAGCATAACCTGGATTGTCTTTAACGCGCAATGACAGAAAATCAGGATTTTGGGGTGAAGTAGCTGTTTACATACGTTGTTGCTTGGAGGTGCATCAGGTTCATAACCTCGAGTTTAACAATCTTGAAGAATCCATATGGTGCTCTTTAAGATTGTCTAGTATTTCGAGGTGTCCAGTCGGAGTCATTTACAGGAAACCAACTGCCGACATCGAGTAGGATATTCGTATGCTGTAAGGACTATCCCTATCTACTGGTCTCGGTTTGACACACATCCTGATTTTAGAGGACTTTAATCTCCCCAGAGTCAACTTCACAGAACACACGTACACTGGAGGCGACAACTCATTTGAAGCTCGGTTCTTCAACCTAATCGATGACTTTAGATTGTATAAAAATGTGAGGTCGGCAACTCGTTGGAGAAACAGTCAGACACTATCGCGCTTGGATTGTGTATTCACAAACGAGGAATTTCTAGTTGACAACCTCTCAATCCTGGCTCCCCTGAGAAAAAGTGATCATGCCATCATAGCCTTCAGTTTTGTCAGCAAAACTAATCTAAGATACCCCACCAATAACTTGCGTTGGAATTTCAAACGGTTGAACACGACTATCTACAACAGGTGGTTTGGGATGTTCATCCCCAACTCGATGTGGACGGTCATTGGGACTTCTTACTGCACACGCTCTTACATGCTACCAACCATTCAGTTCCTCAAACGGTCCCAAAAAGCTGCAAGCCACCTACAATAATCAATAACCGTACCTTTAGCCTGCTAAGCTCCAAAAGGCACTGTTGGGCGGAATACAAACGAACTGACAACGACGGAGCGTACAGGCAATATAAACATATCAGGAACATATGCACGAAGGCTATAAGAGAAGATAGGCTTCAGTACCAGACAAAGCTTATGGACAAACTTGCTTCTAATCCTAAAAGCTTATTCCGTTATGCACCCTCTCTTCGTCGAGCCAACATTGGAGTTTCCCAAATGGTAGGTCTGAAAGGCCCGACCAACAACGATGGCGACGCCGCTAACCTTTCGGCTAAACATTACTCCCAGACATTTCAACCGACCGACATTAACCTTACTGATGACAGTTTCGTTTGCAATTCCACAGGACTTTCCGAAGTGAACCTAAGCGCTGACTTGGTGTTCCGGAAACTGCTGTACTTAAGATTAGACACTTCTCCTGGCCCGGACATGGTCCATTCCGCTATACTGAGGGAAGCAGCTTCACTTTTGACAACGCCGCTTAGTGTGATGTTCTCACACTGGCTAAGTCGATGAAAACTGCCGGAAAATTGGAGGCTAGCTCACATCACACCAATTTCAAAGGAGGTCGACGCAGCGAACCTTCAAGTTACCGACCGGTGGTTCTTCTCTCAATACCTTCAAAATTCATGGAGTCTCTGATATGTGATGATATAAACGACTATTTACTGTCCTTAAATTTCTTCTCACCCCAACAGCACGGTTTCAGGAAGGGTTATTTCTGTACTACCAACCTGCTGACTGCGGTGGATAGATGGACAAGCATCCTTGATCACAAGGGGAAGGTTGATATCATCTACCTAGATTTCTCAAAAGCTTTTGATAAGGTTAACCATACATGTCTTATTAATAAGCCCAAACAATTGAGAATCAGACCACCTCCAATCGATTGGCTCACTTCATACCTGAAAAATCGACATTTTAAGGTCAGGGTTAATTTCGCTTTATCTCAGGCTATGGAATGTCCTAGTGGATTCCCCCAGGGCTCAGTACTATGACTTCTTCTCTTCTTGATCTACATAAACGATTTTCCTCAACAGGTAACGTCAGACTTATTAATTTTTGCCGACGACGTGAAACTTTGGAGAGAGATACGCAACCAAGACGATGTACAGGCACTTCAGGAGGATCTGACTCGACTTCAAAGTTGGGCAGAGTCCTGGTGCCCCATGATTTAAAGTCTTACGCTAATCGTGACAAAAATGCCTTCCGAGCAAACCTTGCACTGGTAACACTGAAGCGCATTTTCGGCCAGTTTGATGGAAGAACTTTTCATATAATTTTCAATAGTTTTATCCGCCCCCATTTAGATTACGGAAACATAGTATTTCCCCCTCACTCCAAAAGGATAAGGACACCCTGGAGCGTATTCAACGGCGAGCCACGAAATCAGTTCGACGACTCAAATTTAAACCTTACGAAGAGCGCCTCCATTCACTAGACTTTTACCCATTAGGGTATAGACGTCTTAGAGGTGACCTTCTGATGGCTTATAGTATCCTTAACACTTCTTGACATCCTCTCAAACACCTACTCAAGCTTAGTTCCAACATTAACCTAAGGGGTAACACCCAAAAACTGGAAACACAACATAGCAGAACGGGATGTAGACACAACTTTTACTCCTTAAGAGTTGTCAAATACTGGAATTCGCTGCCGGCCGAGCTAGTTCAAGCGACTTCCCAGGAGTCCTTTAAGAGGCAACTTGATCTATTCTTAAGAACTAAGGACTAGTATCGCACTATGATTTATCAATTCCCTTTCCCGTTTTATTGTTAACACACCTAGGTTCCTGCCTGGATGATTTGGTGATCCCCTGCTATTAGACACGGAAGCCTGTTAAGCGAAAGCTTCTTCTACTCCGTCTGCAACCATTTGAACCATTTTACTAGGTATATGATCTTAGATATAAGCGGTTGATTTAAGTCCAAGGTCCAACGACTACGGTCCAAGGGCAACTACTCTGTGGTATCGCGACACTTCTTTGCGCTACTTCTTTATTTCTGCTTTGTGCACATCGAAAAACCGAAATTAATAATAAATAAATTTGATAACTGGGTGGTTTTAAACTCAACTTAGGGATTTAACAAACGGAACTAAAATTCAGAACTCAGTTCTGAAGCTTAAGCATGCTTAAGCCCCTACAACACCTTAGTAAGAGCTATCCTCTGTCCTTCACGAACGTCGCCTCAACTTTTTCTATCTTTTGTTATGATTGATATTATAGTATATTTGATGCCGCCGGTGTAAGCTTTATGTATGATTTTTTACTCTCTTCAAACCTGATTCTTTTGATAAAACGTCTTTAAAAAGGTATTTGAATATATTGGTTATCCACATAACATGATATTATTATTTGTATTAACACTGCAGTATGATTATCAAATGAAGAACAACTGTTTTTATGAACTTATCCAGACGCGGTGAGACTATAATTTATGGACGACCTTTGAGCGACGCTGAAGTGACCTAGAGAATGGAGACCTACTAATTAGGACAAAATGAGAGTTCTAAATTAGTTAGGATTATGATTTACGGTTGATGGTTAAGGTTAAAAATTATATTTAGGGTTTTCGTCACAAAATGACATCAGCTATAATGCCAAAACTCTATTTAGCCAAATGAATGAATGATTTTCGCCCTATAATTTATTACTCTTTATCTTATATCTAATTGGTTCGTCCATAAATTATAGTCTCGCTCCAGACGCTTGTTGGGATGAGCAAAGATGCTAGTCAGATTACTTCCTCAGAAATTTGGACTTTTTTTCGTAAAAGACATGCATAAGCTATACAGTTTCTGTCACAGATGTCTTAGAAACATCCCTCATATCCGATGGAACCACGGAGTTACTTTTGTTGGGATGCAGATAAAGGTACTATGTAGAGTTAACAACCCAATTAATGATGCTGTGGAACTTAATTGACTTATATGTTTAAGATGTGCGTCACACATTCCTCATGACCGCCTACCCTAATGTGTAATATCATTTAACATTCATATTGGTTAGGTTAGCTACGTGGTTACACAATTCAAAACAGTCGATGAAGTCTTTTTAATCACTGTCCCGAGCCATGTTCACGTAATACTGTCAACCAATGCTTGACTATGTTGAGCAACATAGTGCAGACACTTTCCTCTGTATGTTTTAGTTCAGTGCTATTTTCTACTCTCATTCTTCTGTCTCACTCGTCTCTATTTAAATTTATTCTTGATGTTCAAATTTCCACTACCTTGAAAATTAGTTACCATATTGTCTTTCATCCTGTTGATTTCTTTCTGACTTGACGCATGGTAACTTAAGTTACCGTTCTGTTCAATTGAGCGGACGGCTCCCATGTTGATAACAAGTGACTTGAGTTAATCGAGATTAATAGACTTAATTTCTGATTTTTTTTCCATAGATCTTGAACCATTATGTGTTTGATAAATTTAGCTTTCTGCTTTGCTTAAAATAGTAGTTTTATACCATCTGTTCTTCAAATAGTCCACGTTGATATAGGTCAGCTGACTGGTATACTATTGGAATATCACTCAGATAACGTCGTACAAAGAATGCTACTGCTACCAATTAATCAATTGTCCTACTTAAAAATGTTACGTAAAATTCTACAGCAACCTTGCCAAACAAGTATTTTCCTTTCAAGGACATACTGGGTTATCTTGCTCTTGGTTACGATTTTAAAACAATTCTTATAGATCATACCTTGTTCTAAATTACTCTTACTCAGAAATTGTTTTCTGTTCAGTCAACTTATAAAATTTTTTTGTCAGCACTTTCCACATATTTTTCACTTAGGCAGTTGAGTTATTTTCAGGCAATCTACAAGTGTTCTTGTTAGAATTTCCTAAAAATAACATAGAATACGATAATCTAGTAGTTCTCATAACAACTGATAAAGCTTTTTTGGTTTTAGAAAACTCTGTTGAACACCCTTGTCTGTCATACTAGCATGTCATCAAGTAAGTTTTAAATCCTATTTCCTAATATTTCACTACAGTCATGTCGAATTTTCTCTATGTGATCTGTATATTTGCTCTTACCTATGTTGTAGAAAGTTCTTGGAATGTAAGTTTATATTTCAGCATTTATTTATGATAAAAATTCAGGTTACTATAAATCATAATCCAAATTGCAATCTTTCGAAAGGATGTGACAAATATGATGTGATATACATTAATGGTCGTAATTTAACATCTTCAGTACATGTGTTTATAACAGCATCAGAACGCTTTTCTCTTCCATCAATTTTGATTATTCACAGTTCATCAGCTGAAGCTAATCCTGTAATAGAATGGGAGAATTTAAATGCTTCTTCTGGAAAAAGATTAAATATCAGTAATGTGACCCAGTCATATGCTCTTGTATTTTATAAAGTAAGTTTATACTTAATAAACTCTCGGTACTGTCAGATATATCCCTTACTATATCTATAACACGTGCGAACAGCCTAGAGTCCTGGTTGGTCCTGCTTTCCGCCTAGCCCAGCCGGTCTCAGCCTCCGCAATATGGATGATTATGTTTCAAACATACTGAGTTTATATACCAATCAAACATACCACAACGTACCAATAAAATATGAAAAAAACATTTGTACAAGAATTAGCTAGATGTGGCTGTGAATGAGGGAGGTAGTAATTAATATACTGGGTATAACTCAAGAACGGTCAAACGTATAAAAATAGTTTATGGGTCAAAATAAAGCTTATGATAAGAGAAATATGAATACTCATAGTTTAGTTACTTATACAATAGAAATATACGTTTAGTATTGGTCCATCAATAGATCCCAAAAGTTACCATTCATTATTCTTGTCGGGACATAACATTTATTCATCCAGCTACGCTAGTGAAAGGGACTGTACGTGACTTTTTTTATTTATTTGAACACATGAATATTGGTACAAGAGAGCGCCAATATATATGCGCCACACAAAACAATGAGAATTCGAAGAGAAATAAAAAAAAACTAAGGAGCGCAAAAAAGAGAGAACAATAACGAAGAGATTGGTGTAAGGTAGTGTGGTAGTAATGAGGGAACGGAAAGGTGCAATCGGAAAAAAATCTTTCAGGTAAGGGAGACACAACCACTTTTTATGAAGAAAGTAAAGGAAGGTTACAGCAGGATCGCCACTGGCTTCTATTCTGAGCCATATCTGATAACGTCTCTAGCCACTGTGTAGCACCATCTCTCAGACCCCAACCAGGGAGTCGTGAAGGACCAACACAAGCTAGTCCTTTGCAGCTTTCTTTCATGCCACGACACCATGTCATACTGTTATACTCTCTTTCTTACGGTTAAGACCCAGCTATTCCTATTGCTTAGTATTCTCGGACACCGATTCACTCGACAAGTCCCCAAATCAGAACACGGTTGAACAGGAAAGAGATTATATTCCAAATAACAAGGTTAGATGGAAGTAAGATACCAGTAAGAAGCACAATAGAGAAAACGTCAGTATATTTATAGTTTTTACATGAGAAGATTCTAGAGTATTCTCCAACTATCGACTAGTGCTGATTGGATAAGAATTAGCCAATCAGCGTGCACCAAAGCAATCATGCATTGAGCATACTTTAATCCAGCCTATGTCCCGCAAACACATACACTGACCACCTCTCCGCTTCTTCCAACCAGTCCCAGAGTCGGCAAATAATGCACGACGTGGAATTCTCTGGGACGACATTCGGAGAACATGTCCAAGCCACCGAAGTCGGTGTTTTAAGATGGTGACACCAATTGAATTATCATCTCTGTGCCCGAACACACGATGCCGAACCTCTGCATTACTAACATGGTGTTGCCACTGAATGTCAGCAATCCTTCGGAGACCGATGATCGAACACAGAGAGTCGTCTAACGTCCTCAACTCGGAGAGGCCAGGTTTCACAAGCATAGAGCAAAACTGCTCTCACCGACGCGTTGTAGATCCGACCTTTTACAGCCAGACTAACATCACGAAGGCGCCAAAGGTGGCCCAGATTGGCATAAGCCGCTCTGGCTTTCACTATACGTGCATTGATCTCCTCACTCACACCCCCACCAGCACTTATGCAGCTATCCAGATACACGAACTTCTCGACTACTTCCATCTGCTCACTATCCAGGGTGAGTACAGGATTAGAATCCTGCCAGTCATGTAGAAGTACTTTGCAAAGCACATACCATACCTACGGTCACTGATTGCCAACTGAATAAGTGCGGATTGCATGCCTTGGGCATTATCGCACAGTAAGACAATATCGTCCGCATACTCAAGGTCGAGAAGTTTTTCTTCAGGCAACAGATCCACACCACCATTACTTACATTCATCAGAGCTGTTTCCAGAATGTCTTCGACGGCAAAGTTGAAGAGGAATGGTGAGATGGGCAACCCTGTCTAACCCCACTGCTCGAATGGAACAATGGAGAGAGGTGGTTGTATGCCCTCACTCTGCCTGAGGTGTTTGTCTATAGGGCTTTTAGGATGTTAATAAACTTCTCAGGCACACCCTTCTTCAATAAACAATCCCGGAGAACAGTCCTGTCCAACGAATCGAAGGCAGCCCTGATGTCAAGAAACACTACGATTGTTGGCCTTTGATAAGTATGGCGATGTTCTAACATTTGGCGGAGGGTGAAGATATGATCAATACATCCTCGACCCGAACGAAACCCAGCCTGCTTCTCGCGAGTCAATCTTTCTCGGGTTTTGAACAACCTACGACGTATGACGGAAGCCAATAGCTTGGACGCATTCGGAAGTAGACTTATCCCCCGATAGTTGTTGCAGGAACGACGTGAACCCTTTTTAAAGATAGGGACAACTATCGACTCATTCCATGACGTTGGTACACTCTCTGGTTCCAAAACCTTTGTAGACAACTTCGTCAATTCCTTAGTCATAAATTCACCGCCATCTTTAAAAAGAGCCGGAGGTAAGTCATCTGGCCAGGTGATTTGTAACGCTTCAAGAGTTTAAGTTCCTTGCGGACTTCCTCCTCGTTTGGTGGATCAGTCGTCACCGGCCATGGAGGGCAGGACAGTCTGACCGGTGCTGCCGGAGCAGCAGGCCAGTTAAACTGCCCTTCAAAAAATTCTGCCCACCGTCCAAGACGTCGATGGATGTTAGTGATTGGCATCCCATCATCCTCGCAGATTGTTTCACTCACACCAGACTTCTTGCTGCCAGTGGCTCGGATGAGTTGGAACAGCTTCCGGTAGTTACCAGATGCAGCTGCTGCTTCCAGCTCATTAGCACTCTTCGACCACCAGGCTTCTCGGTCCTTACGCAAGCTTTGCCCAATTTCCTTACGTAACATCCTTCGTTTGTGGTCAAACTCACGGTTACCCGGAGTAGACCGATGGGCTTCAATGAGTTGTAAGGAACCTGCAGAAACCCAGTGCTTATAGGCGGGACGTTTCGCGAACCCACAACTGACTGTACCCGCCATTTTCATGGCGTCATGCAATTGCAACCAATGCTCATCTATACTTTTCGGTGGAGTGGTAGCTAGCCTAGAGGCTAGCCCGGTTCGATACTTATTTGCAACAGAAGTTGCAACCAGCTTGCTAATATGAATCCTTTGCTGGCGGTCACTTCGTTGTCCACTGAAAAATAAGGCAAGATTGGCGCAGACCAAGGCATGGTCAGAGTCCAGATAGGTACTCCAAAAGGAGCGGCAGTCTTGTACACAACCACGCCAGCGGTAGCTGATCGCGATGTGATCAATCTGAGTCCAGACTTGGGATGCAGAGAGAGGACACCAGGTGGCACATCGGCGATGACTGTGCCGAAAGTTAGTGCTAGCCAGAAACAGGTTGTGGTCTGTGCACAGTTGTAGTAGACGGTCCCCGTTATCTGACCTGCGACCAACGAGTCCCCATCGGCCATCTAAACGACTCTCTTCTGTGCCTAGACGCCCGACCTGAACATTCAAGTCTCCGGCTAGTACTACAATATCTGTCGAACGCACTTTCTGGAGAAGAACAGATAACTGGTGGTAAAACTCATCCTTGATTGCATCCGGGCTGCAATCTGTCGGGGCATAGGCGGAGATGACGAAAAGACATTGTTTCTCACGCCGATTTCTTCTCACTTTGATGAAACTTTCTAATCTAACAGCACATAACCGACTGTTAATGGGGATCCAATCGACTAGTGCTGCCTCAGCTCTAGCGCTTAGTGCGACACCAACGCCAGCAAGAACAGACGAAGATGCCACAGGGTCCCCGGATAAGCGCACGTAAAACAAGCTTTTCGAAGCGACAGATGGAGATCGGATTTGTAGTACTTCGCCAGAGTTTTGAATACGGGTCTCGGATAGACAACAAACATCAATATTAAGATTTTCCAAAGACATAGCCAGCCCTATCTGTTGTCCGACTTGCACTAGTGTGCGAACGTTGAAGGCAGCCAGTTTGAATGGTGCACGTGGTTTCAGAAAAGCTGCTTCAGTTCTCGTAATCGGTGGTAACATACAATTTTCAACCGGACAGTGACTCGAGAACGTTTAGATAGAGTCGAATTTCCACCAAAGACGAGCCGCTGTATAAGTATAAAAGAGGGTGAATAATGTGGAAAATAATAATAATAATAATAATAATAATAATAATAATAATAATGACAATAATAGTAATAATAATATTAATAATGACAATAATAGTAATTTCGATAACGATATTAGAAGACGAAGATTATATGTATTGCGCTAATATATCACATAGTTCTTATAATCTTCGTCTTCTAATATCATTATCGAAATTTATCAAAGGGACTAATTGTTTTAAATAATAGTAATGATAATAATTTGAATCAATTGATTGTTTTTCGAAGCGAGAAAAGTAGTTTCCATAGACATAGAGAGTTCATCATTTGTGTGTGGGCTGAGATACTGCCCGGGCGCCCAAACCGAAGCAGGTGGTTATCTTAGGGGGCCACACCCCGAGCCTCCAACCTGAAGGTCTGATCCACAAGGCAGTGTAGCATTGTAAGGAGATTCAGTCCCATGGAAGCCGGTGAACACCAATTGGTTCATACGCCATTCGTTCCCTCAGGATACTGGAGCCCATGTGCACCATTGGTTTGTGATCCGGTTAAAGCGCCGGTATTCGCTTTTCGTCCTCTCATTTTCGTAAACAACACCCCCGCCACGAGAAGGCAATGAGTAAGACTTCCCTGGCAGAGGCTGTATACGGGCGGCCGTGTGAGAGTATTTCGGGAGGGAGAGCGGACTCTCCTCACTCTCGGCCGTACCAGGGCATTCGGGGGCTAAGCTTTGATTGAGAAACTGAATAATAAAGTACACGTATATTTGTCATTCTGACCTACACCAGAACATGTGGACCGAAACCTTAACTGGGAACATAGTCAGTTTCCTTCACTAACATGGTCCACTTATAATTTGTCACCCAACGCTTTACCTTGGTGTGACATCTGAGCATGGGCATATAATTTGCCTAAACTCTACAACAATATCACGAATGAAGTCATTATTACTAGAGAAGAAAAGGATTAACCGATTAATCAGACTCAGTTTTACTCAGTACAAGTTCGTCTACTTGTTTTTAACGTTCATGCTGGGATATTCAGAAAAATATCCCAAAAATTATCCTGTTAATTCTAATGCTAACCTTGGACTTGAAATGGCATCATTTTCCTATTGGTCAATTTTTACTTCACGTGTCATTTTCCTGTTGGCCAAATGTTGTACAAATGTTATTTTCTATTTCATGGTACGATGTGGTCTCCCTGATTGGCATATAAACAGAGTATGTTTGAAATATATGATTCATATCGCAGAGGCTGAGACTTGTGTTCTGAACTTATCTGGATGGGCTAGGCGGAAAGCAGGGGCAATCAGAACTCTAGACTGCTGTCACGTGTTTACGCGTCATTGGTCCGATTGATAAGTCATTGCTCTAATCGGTGGCCACAAGTTATAACAGTTCGTAGGAGTCCCTAGGGTATACTACTAAATGGCTGCTCAAAGCGAAGTAGGTCGAGCGAAGTTCTAACGTTGGAGCCTATTGGTTGTGAAATGCAAATGCTATAACCTCTAAGCAACCATTTGTTGCTGGGCTTTCATAAAGAATATAATCATAGCATATAAGCTTTTTACAGTATTACAAATTATTCTGAACACGTTATGAAAAGGACCTCTTCTTTCATTCGGAGATATAACGTTACATTTTTGCTTTTTTATCTAAAAATCAACCAGATGTTTGAATATAACGATTTATCTGATGATGTGAACATGTCCATTTATCCTCAAAATTCTGATCAAATTCGAATCCACCATTTAAATGAATATAACTGGAAGCGTAATTCGAACAACGATAGTTCATTATTCTTTGAAAATAATTTATTTGAAATAACATACAATGGAACTAGTCCAAAAATGACTTCACCATACGAACAAGTTATTATTAAGGTAAGTCAAAAAATATAATGGAATGCTAGTCTTAGTTTTGTTCTTTAATATGTGCAACATGTTTGTCTTTACGTAAATTGTGTTCAGGCTGTTGTATTGATTATTATATTTGGGTCTATGTATGGCATATGTACATTTTATCAGTTTATGGGGTTATGAACCGTTATCGGTTATAAACATCTGTCACAACTCTGTATATCAACCACGTCTTAAATAAACACAGGGCGCAAGAAAAATCAACGAGACAAAACACAAAAAGGATGAGTTAATTTCAATTATAGAGCATATTATTCAGCTTCAAACAACGTAGAACCTGACATTTGTGTATCAACTCAAATTGCTACACCATATCAGCACAGTGAAATAAAATTATGAAGACAAATGTTAAAGCAGTAGAAGTAGTAACTGTAGTGATGATAGTAAAGAAACATTAGGTATAGACATCATACTTCAAGAAGAAAAGATGAATTCACAAGATATGAAACAATAGGATAGTTTCGAAACTCAAGACACAAGGACAAATAAGTGGTGAATACATTTAAACCATACTACCTAACATCTTCAACCATAGGTTAATCACATAGATTCCAACCAGATAATCTGTATCTACCTATACAATTCAGATTAGTAGTCAGTAACTTCATAGATTGATGTCACATCCTAGTTTATCTACTCTTAGCTTTCTTCCAACCGAGTTTTCACAATCATTTTTATAATAATTTCCATTAAAGAAATTTATTATTATTTCAGTTAGAATTTGTTTTGTTTTATTTTGTAATTTCAGTTTCGAATAAGTAATACAACTCAACATCATAAAGATATGCCACATTTATTATTTAAACCTGGTTGGATTATTCAATTTGATATTTTATTCAATAATTTAACTAGTCATTTTAATCAAAGTCGATTTGGTTTACAATTAATGATAATGTCAAATTTAACTTTGGATCCAATTGAAGAATTTCGTAAAGAAGTTTTATTCAGTATTGATGATGAATTAACACCTGGAAATTTTGAGGTAAAATTTTTGTTTTCCTGAAACGAAAACAACAACGTGTAAAAAAATGTTCTTCTCAGAAAGTAGAATGAATTTCATTATGTATACATTAGTGACTAATTTTATGGAGTAATTTCTGGTGTTCTAGTGACTAAAAGGTTTGATTAGTGGAGTTCAGCTTTATATAGTGTGAGACAGTTGCCTTACTCACGAATAACATTGGAAGATGATTGTGCTATTTCACGGATTGATTAAAGTTAAAAATATAAACCATTGAACGATGGGTCATTTATCTGGAGGTTAAGTGTTCACCTAGAGACTTAATGAAGGTCGTGCGTTCGTTTCTTCGTGGTGTCATGAATGGTAATCTCTCATACTAAGACATTATGGCTGTTTATTTCTTCCTGATTTAAATTAATTATCTACTTGGAGTTAGTCTGTCATATAAACTATATAAATTCATATTTATGTTTTTGGTCGAGTTTCGTTCTCTAAGCTGGGTAGTTTTGTTGTGAGGTTTTCATTGTTCTTCTGAATAAAATCAGCGAAAACTTCAGATAGAAGGGAAGTGTTTGAATTTCTCTACAAATAATAAACAACTTATTCTTGCCATCTACCTGGGCTACAAAATTTCCCCATCATCTTATATTTGTCTTTGTGTGTTTGTGAAACTTAGTTATCAGACGTAAGATAAGCAAATCTATTCAGTATTTTAATCCTATAAAAGTGTTGTAGTCCAAGTGAATATGTTATGTAGCAACACAGTAATAACAATCATCTTACTTAGTGTTAATTAATAAAGTGTGGAATTTCCAACAGACAATATTTCGACAAGTTCGTCTGACTTTATATGTATATATGTACATAATACAATTAAAGCCTTTATCAGTATGGGGTTGTGGATATTATGTTATTGATTGAGATTTTGAACCGACTGACGTTAGACCATCGTTAAAATCATGGAAGCGCTGGACGGCCGTTTCGTCCTATTGTGGGGCTGCTCAGCAGTAAGCGTACACGATCCCGCTCGCTGGATTCGAACCCAGGACCTTCAGTCTCGCGCGCGAACGCTCAACCTACTAGACCACTGAGCTGGCTGACATCCAACGGTGTTTATGTCTAACCTCAACCAATCTACGAAATTGCGTGACTATCTTCCATTGTACTGGAGTAGATACTTGTCTCTACTCTACACGGATTAGCTCCACAGGTCATGGCGTTGGATGCCAACCAACTCAGTGGTCTAGTAGGTTGAGCGTTCTCGCGCAAGACTAAAGGCCCTGGGTTTGAATCCCACGAGCGGGATCGTGTATATGCTTACTGCTGAGAAGTCCCACAATAAGGCGAAACAGTTGTCCAGCGCTTCCACGATTTCAACGATGGTCTAACATCAATCGGTTTAAAATCTCAATCAATTAATGTCTTTATTAGCGTTTAAATATTAAGCAATTTATTGTTATCAGTAAATTTAAGATTGCTTTCATACGTCTAAATAGTTCTTTGTATATATATATCCATCTTTTCTTAAATACTAGATGACCAATATTTTATTAGGTGAATCAATATCTAAAATGAATAATAATGCTAAACAATATACAAGGAATTCAATTCATCCATCAGCATTTCTTCAAATCAAACCAGCTTGTTTTATTGATAATCATTTGCGAACAGTTCAAAATAGTCGTAATGTTTATATTGGTAAACATCAAGATTTATTAAACAATAATAAAATAATTAATTATTCATTTCCAACAATATTTTATGCGGATAGATTAAATTCTCATAGTAACAATAATACTAACTTGAAACCTATTAGTATTCGTTTATTAAATGTATCATTTGGTACATCGACTGATGGATTTTATGCTAAATCGAAATTTATTGTTTGGTAAGTCGATCTTATTTTGATTATTATTGTTTGTTTGTAGTTGTTGTTGTTGAGTCTTCTCTTTATTTTCTTTTTTCTTTTAATATTCAGTTATTCATTGATAATCAAATTTAAAGCCTGGAATAAGCGTATGTTATTTCAAGTTGTCATGACTAATTAAAATGAACAGGAAGTATAATAATTATGATAAAATATTCGTCTATTAATTAAGGGACGAGTATACTGTGTGGCAGTTCGTTCTGTTTTACTTTACAGCTGCAAAACATGGCCATTAAGAGTTGAAGATACTCATAAGCTACTAGTATTTGACCACAGATGTCTTAGAGATATTGCTCGCACGGGGTAAGTAATAGTGAGGTTAGATGCAGGGTATTATAGAATGATGTTAAATCAGTTGATGAGGTTGTTAATCTTCATCGACTGAAATGGTTGGGTCACCTGTTACGTATGTCTGAACACCGAGTACCACGACGTGCAATGCTAACCGGTGTTCGGGATGGTTGGAAGAAAGTTAGGGATGGCCAAACCAAAATGTGGCATCACTGCTTGAAGTCACTAACTTGTAGTCTGAGCCATGTTGCTAGATGCAGACTACTTGGTTGGGGTCCGTGTGACTATCGTAACCAATGGTTGGAGACTCTTGGTGACATGGTTCAGAATCGATCACAATGGTGTAGGTGTATACACTCTCTGTCTTCCCTTAAACTAAGAGATTAAAATCGCTTCATATCTTTCTTTCTACGAACTAATTCTTTCTTCCTGTACTATATCTTTATTCCAATCTTTCTTTTATATATTTATTACCACTGAATTAACAACTTCTTTGAATTCGGTGTTCATATTGTTGTGCTAATGAGGTATGGCAACTTGGACCTATGCAAATATGTGCCTGGCCCTACATTGTATCTGACTGATTATGAGGAAGACCAAGGATTGTAAATATGGTATGAAAGTACAGAATGGAGAAGTTAATTTGAAGGAATACTGGAACTAAAGGTCTTGAGCGCGATCAAGAGTGAATGTATGTGACCTCTTTTGAGCCATGTTAAACAGTCTCCAACCATTGATCGTGGTTATTGCACCGCCTTGAACCAGTTAGTATCCATCTATCTATGGTACTTAAACCAATGGTCAATGACTTCATGAACTTATGCCACATTTTGTTTTCGTCTTTCACCTTTAGTTTAATTCCAAACTACTACTTTAGTCAACATCGCACATCGAGGTAGGTGGTGGTTGGAGATAAGCAATATATGTCGCAACCACCTCAGCCGATGAACATTCAGAACCTTACAAACTGTTTCCCCATCTCTGCCTATTTTTATCCTATGACTAACCTCAAGATTGCTCACTCGTTCGTCTTACAGACGCTAGGGATGTTTCGAACGCAACTATGATGAAAGACTTGCGGTCTATAAATGTTTCCCATTTTTCAAGGCATTTGCACAACTATAGACCAATGCTATACATGAACACTACAAAACGAAATTACGTCAGGACTAACACTATTTTTATTGTGAGCTTTATGACCGCTTGATTAAGTTGACCAGCCTCATAAAAATGAAGGTGCACCTCTAGAGACACCAAATTTTTAAAGACAAGATAATCTGTGAAATAGTCAATATCATTGTTAGCGATTTTTTTATGGACGTAACCAATACCCTACGCTTCCCAGTGGATTGATAACTAACTTTAAACTTAACCTAAGTCGGATATTTAGTTATAGCTCCTAAATGCCGTGGTATGACCGAAGGTGGAGAAGGTTCTTCTCTCTCTCTCTCGAAATGCTCTCATGTGGCCACGTATATATAGCTGCTGCCAGGGATGTCCCACTCACTGCCTTCTTGCAGAGAAGCGTTGTTTATGAAGTCGAGAGAACGAAAAGTGAATCTTCTTCGCTTAAATCGAGTTGGTGGAACCATAGGAAAAAGTTGCAAAACTCTAATTCCCAAATGATGATACATATGCGATTCAGAATCCTGATGGAACAAAGGGTGTATAAACCTACTGTTGATTACTGGCTACCGTAGAACTGTATCGCCTAACATTGTTCTACACCTATAAGGATAAGGTCTCTGAACCAAAGGCTTGGGGAGTGGCCCCCTAAGAAAACCCTCTGTTTCTGTCTGGATAACCAAGTAGTATCCCAATCCACACACAAATTCAATGATTTGTGTGGTGCATATATATTTTACTGCATCTTTGTACCAATGTTTATGTGTTAAAATAAATAAATAAATAATAAATATAGTAGATATTTAGTTACAATGAATAGGTAACCTTCAGTTTTTATGACATCAATCTTATTAGATTAATAAACTTGTTAGTCATGTATTGAGTAATCTTTCTTAGCTTAGTATTCTTAAACCATTTAATAGACCAGTTTTAAAATGAAAACATAACTTACAGCAAAACGTAAAAAGAAAACATTTTTTTTTCTAAGCAAAAAGAGAACAAAACAAAACAATGAATTGATATACATGTAAGAAATATCATTGAATGTTCCATGAATTTTGCGAGTAATAAAATTTAATTCTTCATAAAATGCAGGTATTTTTCATGAATTTCACATCTCCAACAGTTTTCCTCCTTTTTATTAATGTGCTTTTGTTGGATTCATTTAGTTACAGTAATAAAAACTGTGGTCTAAAGGTTTATTGATTCTTCGTTTATATCTAGATTGAAGATGTTTCCTACCTACCCCTCGTCCTTCCAAAAATGAACTAATTACCATATGAATTTAAGGCATTTATTCCTGGTTAGATCTTAACGATTATTGGTCGATAACTGAGAGGTAAACTGATAGAACAACCGTTAACATAGGCTGTAATATTATACCTGGAGGTACTGGATTGAAATATACTGATACGTTTATAGATTTCACGTTCGTGTAGTAACCAAAACCGTTCTGAAAGAAAAGAACAGTTTTTTTTATAGCTTTTTCACTAACTTTTAACTTGTGTTCTTTGCTAATAGCTGGATGTTCATTCATAAACACGACTGATTGAAGATACTATTCATACAAATATCCATTAATCAGTTTTTCAGTAGATATAGACTAAGAAGTTCAAGATTTTGACGGTCAGTTAGATAACACATTCCATTACAGTTTGTTCCACTAAAAGATAATTCTAATTGCAGTTCTCCAATAAGTTTCAAAATACTACTTGATACATTCTTAGTAGTTTTCTTAGGTGATTCCATTTTTTCAGTCAACCAAGTAGATAATCAGTTTATTTAGGCACAATATTGATATCAGATGCGATATTTATTTGAAGATACATTGGATTGCTGTTGTCTAGAACACTTCCTCCGGATATCATAATCTGCTACTATTGAAAATGATTTCGATTTGAACTTCACCAGGTGTCGAGAAAGTTTACGTTCCACTGTGGTCTGGGATTTAATATTCGGTGGTCAATGACCTTTATGTCTCTGTCCGTTGTGTATTTGACATCTGTACTTTCTAGATGGATAGAATAATATATAATACCAACCACTATACAACCAACTGGTCGAGCAGATTGTTAATTTATGATTAGTCAATTTAATTTCGAATATTATTTGGTTTATAGATAGTATTCGTCACAGATTGATCTCGTTTAGCATGCAATTTAAAACCAGCAATGTATTAGATAGCTATTTCATACGGCACTGCTCAACACTATCCAACTATAATTTAACTAAAGAAAACAAGTTGAATTCACAAGACTACAACTAAAAAGTTAAAGGTCAAATGTTGGAACTGTTACGCTACACTGATAGATGCCTAGAAGACATTTACTTAATAAAATTTCAACTGACTGACTAACTATATCTTGTTTACAAACTATTTCACATTGTTAAGCTTGAGGTATTTTTTAGTTTTCTGATAATACAATGCATTACACCGAGTTTTTATAATACATCATTTGAACAGTAATAGTACACATATTTATCTATAAAACTGATCAATAATTGTAGGCTTTTAACCTTTGTTACAGTGCTGCTATATATAAATCAGTAATTGACAACACATGTTAATATTTTTAATAATAATCAAAGTTCACCATACATTCCATTGCACACGAACTGACACCTTAGATATTCCGTTACTAAACAATCTCATCATATTTTTGTGTGACTAGGTGTGATCAGAATAAATGCATAGAATATATTGAAGGGCGATCGGCGTGGTGCCTTGTGAGAATCATATATATCATGGGCTGATCCTAGATCATCATTGAATGTTGAGAAATACTAAATAGTAGTTTAACATTCCTCAACAATGGGAATTCATGACTCAGTGGAGAATTATTATGAAGTCAAGATTTTTTCGGTGTTTACATTCTTGAACGCTTAAGATGTGATTCGATCACTCCAAATGCAGAATGTTGCCTAGCGTCTAAATTAATGAAAGGGATTGAAGTAGTCGATTGCATCAACCAGTCAGCTACAACGTAGGACCAGGCAACAACCACTTCACTTATCTTAGGGTTTCATCAGCCATGATTGGTCGGTGTCTGGGAAACGTTGGACACGCAATCAGGAAGTTCGACTGACCTTTCCTGACTTGGATCGCTTGTGGCGTAGGCAGGATACCGTTGGCAAACCAAAGGATGAGATAATTATGTAGCAGTTCGCTTCGTTCTACTTTATGGGTGTGAAACATAGCTTTTAATACAGAATATTTATAGGTTACTATTTATTAGTCGTACCTTTGGAGTATTGCTTGTGTATTTTTGAACCACAGAGTGAGGAATATACATGATATTATGGAAGGATGTCAAATTGACTGGTTAGTTAGTGGATCTTAATCAACCTAGGCGGTTGGAACTTGTGTTACGTATTGCTAACCAAAACCTACCCCTTAGGAACTGAGTCCCGAAATCCTATACCTGGTTTTCCTTACCACTACTACTTTCGTATACGTCCTGAAATAATTTTATCGCACTTTGTGGTATGGCAACTTGGACCGATGCACATGTGTCAGGAACTACATTGCGTATGACCGACTGATTTAGTGTCAAGGGAATTATATTTGTTGATTATTCTGAGCCATAATGTATTGAGTTCTTGCCGCCCGGTGTCCTTCGGACATTATACTTCAACCGCCTTCTGAATTAGATCATGAATTAAAAGTAAGCAATGTATATTCCAATAAATTCGAATAATACGATATACCATAATGATGGCATTACTATTCATATAAGGATCTTCTAGTATTTTTCCGACTCGTTCACTAGCGCTGATTCACCAAAAAATCGAACAAGCAACGTGTTCTGATTCGAGCCTGGTTAGTACATTCAATAGTCAGAATATTGTCAGTCTAACATATTGTTCGGTATTGTCATTGAAATGTTTCATGTTGCAGTGACTAGATTTAGTCAACAAAAATAACTTAAATTTCAAATGAATATTTAGTGGTCCATTGTACTGTACCTGTCATTCATATCTGTTTTCTGTTTATACAATACTATTTTGTGATGAAAACTGCTGCTTGATTTGTAAAAAGATGATTTATATCACTATTATAAGGGTTTTGTAGAGATTGCTGAATTTCTATGGTTTGCATATCGTGTTTAGTAGTAACTAGTTTCGAGATTTCTAAAGAAACGTCATGACCAGTGGAGTTCAGTCACATCATGTGTGAAGCATTGACCCACCAGTGGTACTAGAAAATAGGTTTGCAGTATCGCGAATCGATTGGAGTTAGAAATGTAAATCATTAGATGCCAACTCAGTGTTCTTAATGTTAAACTCATATCCTAAGACCTGATGGTCCCAGGTTTGGTCTTTGGCGAGGACGCCACTGCTGAGTAGCTCCATACTAAAACGAAGCAACTGTCTAGTGTCTCCTGGTTTTCAGTGATGGTCTAAGGTCGGTCTGTGATGCAGGCTATAAAATCATTTATGATCATGCATATCCATCGAAGTGGAATTTTCAGAAATAAATTGGTAACTGTATCATAAGATTACCTCGTCTCAATTGACTGCTTTCTATGCTAAATATTTAATCCTTCCAGGTTGCTTTAACAAGCAGAATGGTTTGTTTTTGAAACAATATCATTCTGATGTTCGTATTGTTTCAGTCTTCCTTTAATAAATTACATTAGAAAATAATCATTTATCACATTACATATAACATAACTAATCCTATAACTCATCATAATGTACAATATCAGTCAGTCAATCAGTAACAACGTAGAACTTCGTACGTACGTACATCAGTTCGAGTTGCCACACCACCTTAACACAGAGATGCAGTTGTTGATTCAAATCCCGTAGTGGTAGAGGTAGCAAGAGTGTAAGCAGTGATCGGCAAGATTAAGTTTTGGAGGTGTTATTTAAAGAGTATAATTCAGTGAAATAAATTTGGAAAGAGGAAAAAAGGGACATGAAGAATTCAGAAGATTAGAATTTGGGAGAACACAAAGAGTGGATGCACCTGCGCCATTGCAAACGATTTTGAGCCATGTCATTTAGGGTCTCTAACCATCGGTTGCTATCATCTCGCGGTCCCCAACCAGGTAGTCTATACCTATCAACATGACTCAGACCACTTGTCAGTGATTTCATGGACTTTTGCCATGTTTTGGTCTGGCCGCCCCTAGCTTTCTTCCAATCTACTCCTATACCACTGAACATCGCACGTCGAGGCAGTCGGTCGTTGGGCATACGTAACACGTCCCAGCCATCTCAACTGATGAAGTTTCACTACTTCATCAATTGATTTGCCATCCTTACCTAGTACCCGTTTCCTAACAACTGTGTTACTTACTCGATGGTCCCATGATATACGAGCAATGTTTCGAAGACACCTATGATCGAATACTAGTAACCTACGAATATCCTCTACTCTTACCGGCCATGTTTCACTTCCATAAAGTAGGACGGGACGTACGGCTGCACAGTAAACCCGTCCTTTGGTTGATAGACGGATATCTCGCCTACGCCATAAATGACGCAAGTTCGCAAAAGCTAGTCGAGCACAACTAACTTATTCACCAAGTACTTGGATGTAAGTTACGGTTTAAGTGTAAGAGCTAATAATACCAACCGGTTGTTCAACTCAAAATGCGTTTCGAATCTAAGGCCTAGTGGCAAGAAGTTGAACGCTTTAATCACCTAACTCTCGCTTCACATTAATGATTGCTTAAAACAATTAGAAGTTCCTACTCTGATGTAATTCGTTAGTACATTTTATAGTTGCTCTGAATGAAAATAGTTGCTTTTATTAGTAATAAAACACAGATTTATCATGATAAATGATTTAAGAGTTTTGAATTAGTGCACATCTTGCGGACTGTTTAGAATATATATAATCCCACTACAAAGGAATAAAGATAGAAATGGGATTGGATAAAATACAGTTACATTTATATTTACTAGTCTCGTAGTCTGAATAAGGACATAAAGCATACGATAACTTAACTAATATGGATCTAATCCGATTAAGAAGACAGTTACTTTGTTTTACTACATGTTAGATATGAGGTGAAACCAGTTAGGAAATAGCCATATGACAAAATATTTGTCTTCGGTCCTAGATTACAAATTCCCAACAGTGTGTACTTGCAATCCTACAAACGACCAAATTCCAAAGGACATTTATGTCTAGTGATTGGGACGTCTCCAGATTATGATTTCTTGGACTTCTAAGCTGTTGAGAAAAATCCATATAGTTTCAATGGTGCCTTTGGATAATCATTTTTCATTTGGAGAGCGAAAACTATCATGGATTAACGTTTGATGTGAATAGGTAGGATAATCTAGTTAGTTACTAGACCGGAACTCGCATATCTACAACCAGTGCTTAATATCTAAGCCTATTGTCTTGATTCAAGCCATATACTGACACGGTAGATCCCTAAAGAGTTTAAATAAACACTGTAGAAGTCAGTGTTCACTTTGTTTTTCTTGCGTACTCATTGAATAAATCATGCATTCTATATTTCAAAGTTTCATTATTAATTGCAAATATTTAAACCCAGTACATTTTTTGCTTTCCCAAGGACTGCGTCGTTTGGTCTTGGCAACCCGCCTACTGATAATCTATCTTCCTTATTGATTGGATTAATTATATTCTCGATGTTAATCATTGTTAGCTCTGTAGTTTTAGGCATTCTACTTGTCATTGTTTTACGTCGAAGCACTACTATTATCAATAATGACAGACAACCGATTCTTAGTCATTTTGTCAATGATCCTATCGCTTAAATTGAATTTTTGCCCTTTTATATATTTTGTCCAAATTTTCTTTATTCCTTGAGGAGAGGCAGGGTGGCGTAAACAAGAACCTGAGGAAAAAACCACAAATCCCATGAATCGTTATTATTTTATGATTTTTTTCATTGTTGATTGTATTCTCTTGTATTAATTCATTTGTGCCTTTATAATCCACATTTAATATATAAATACTTCTGTGATTTGCATTGAAAAAATATTGATTACACTGTTCTGTATTAGCTGGATAACTGTGGCCGAGAAATGGGTTATACAAAAAAGGATTGACCAAAATCAGGTAGAGTGAAAGGGGGGTCAACAATTTCCTTCTTAACTCTGTACAATCACAAATATGAGTATGAATTTAAGGGAAAACAGATTAAATCATCAAATGGAATAGGACTGATATCAAGGTTTATAAACACATCCGCTCTACTGGGACTATCTCCAATCATTGATTATTACTACCATGCAGACTCAAGGGAGAAATTCTGACCTTTCCAGAAAAGGCTATGACTAACGACTAGTAGTTTCATGGTCTGGTATTATACTTGGAATAACTACTCTTAGCTTTTCTTCAAGCCACTGATGGAGGTTAATGGATGATATACATTCCAATCACCACAATCGATCAACATTATTCTATAAACGGACTCACCATTTCCATGCAGTACTCTACATATAACCCTAGGGAATACTAAAATTGCTAAATCGTTCATCAATAAAAGGCAAAGCAAGCATGACTCCGGCCAATTTTCAACGACTGACCAGATGTAAATATCTCAAACTCACACGAGGTTAGTCGCTGCTTAAATGGCTCAGTGGTAACGCTCCTAACAGTGACGTGGTTTTGAATTCGATACGGAGAATCCGTCCTCAAGATTATAGGTACGCTTTGTCGAGTAATCTCATCCAGCACGAAACATAGGCCGACGCCGTCCCCAATCGGTTACCTCCATGATACTAATTTGAAGTTTCCTCAAATATTCAAAGCAAAAATAAATTATGCGATCGAGTGTTGGTTCTATATGATAGATATCCTTATTCTAGTAAGATAGTTAAATTATTATTCAAGATGCAAACCCACAAAAGTCAAGTTATGGATTGTATGCAAAATAAAGAATTAATGATTTAATCTGGCACCAGAGAAGTGTTCCATGCTAGCGCATAATCGGTTTTGAGTCAAAATAACTTATATGCAATACCACTTTAGATGTTAAAATCAAATTAGGTGTAGGTTTTTCCAGTAGAAAATCCGAAAGTCTAATGACTAGTGAGCAACCATTCATCTAATCATCGTAGCTAAATTTATCTGTAATATTCTTTTAAAGTGTGGTGTGATTTTTAAAATAAAAAGTAATCATATCCAAGCGTATAGCTTGCTAGTTGGATTAGAGATTGCTCTTAGAAGCAAACTAGTTTCAAGGATAATAATACTCAATCATTTCAGTCAATATATGGGACTAGATCACTACAGCTCTTGTGTAAAATATTAGATATATGTAAACTGTTATACTCAAGTTCAAAACAGGGACAAAATGTAGTTCATTTGCTGCTCGAATTGGTTATGTAATGATTCATGGTTTAGCTTATTTCAGTAAACGGAATACACCGATTAAGACACTAAACAAGGAAGATTGTTTTGGTGAATTCATTTTCAAAGCTGTACAATCGCAAATGTATATACTGATTTTCCAGGATAATAATTACAATAATAAACTTCTGTTAGACATTACGACAGTAAAGCAGAATAAACAAAGCTATTGAAGAAAGATTTTCTTTTCGAAACAAGGAAACTAATACACGTTTGATTGCTAATGGCTTATATATTCATCAAAAGATAGGGAAATTATCATTGGGAAAAGGATGGCCCAGCATGATAAGATAAAACGTTGAAATCGAGATTAAATATAATCAGAAGGTTCAGAGAATCAGAAGTAAACCAGTTGGGGGTAGGAAGTTTAAGGAAATGGGAGCAGATAGCTAAAAAGGAAGAGTATGAAGAGAAGAAGTCATGATAACTTTGTCGTAATAGCAAAGACTAGTTGCCATTCAGATGCGTAGTAATTAAGTATTATGGTAGCTATCCCGACCGGCATAAGTTATATCTTGATGTGTATGTTTGGTTTGTCTGTCATGATGACCCAGTCGAGTTGAGACACTCATCCCTTCAGGTTCTACCATGTTAGATGTGTTGTTTGAATAGCACCACCAAGATCAGCAACTTAAGGTCTGAGGGCGAATCCATACTACTGACCTTAATGTGTTATAACGGCAGTAAGATGTCCCTTAAAAATAATTAGCAGCGATTCTGCCTTCTTACAGCAAAAGGAAGGGTTAGGAATAGGCCGGTCGTAAAAATTCCACACCTTAACTCAAAGATTCCCGTTTCCAGCGACAAATATGGAGCTAGCGCATCAGATCCCTCATGAAATATTCTTCTGAGGATGGGGTAACCCGTAAATGACAATCTTCCCCCATTTCCTTAGCAAATCTTATCACACTGACTGTGGTAACTAATTGCCGGATTTATTTAAACCCAACTACCAGTGTCTATGCACTTGAATGTAGTAGATGACTTACCCATCTATTTATTAAATATTAATTGAACTCAACTATCTTTATCACATATTTGCGCTCGTTTTCTCACTGAGCTGAGGTTTCCCATGGTAGTTCCTAACACAGTGCCATTTTCCTCAGCTGCATTGTCTTGTTGCTGCCTGCATGCTTATTCATAGATCGATTTAAGCCCAGCTAATAATAAATTGTCGTTGAGGCTCGTGAAAATCATAGTAAATCGTGCACCATGTTTCCATGAAAAAAAATCCTAGCATGTGAGTTATGAATTAATTTACACCTGGAATATGCACCAGAGATATATAATCGCGGTCACGTTACTTAACTAATGATCATATGCTAAGATTTGTTGTATGTAGAAAGGTTTATGACAAAGTAGATGGAGGATTACTTGACCACATCTGTAATCTCACGCAAAATAGCCTTTTATCAGTGCTCATTCACAAACCTACTTTAGACACTGGAAAGGTGCATTCTTAGGATAAATTGTACAACTCTCTGCCAATAATCAGAAATAATCCTTGATATTGACGCACAAGTTTCTTAAGTGATCAACAAAGCACTTATGAGGCTTCTTTCCAGGGACAATGTGACAGCAACAGGTACTGCTACTGCGCAACTGAACAGTTATTTTCGGTAATTCATTACGGCTGTTAGGAAAGTCGTGATTGCACTTATTAGGACATTTTCCAGTTGAGAGTACTTAGTATTTTGGACTTTTAGTTCCCCATAGAAGTGTAACTTCAAGTCAGAAGCATACAACTGGATAGGCATTTTTAGTAAAGTATATGACTAAACTAGCGTACTTAATCAGATCCTGCCAACAGAATCTAGCACTTGTCATTATCCTTACTAGCAATACCGATTGTAGCGGATGGTATGAGCACCGAAATCCATAATTATCACCGGTGGATGTACTTTCGTGTCGACTATTTTAGCGCTAATTTCAGGGCAGTTAAATCATCTATTAACTTGCTTTTCTTTGTAAAACCCCCAACTCTTTTGTACTACAGTTTGTTCAATGACCAGTCATTCAGACTCAACGTAGGACCAGAGGTATATGGGCTGGTAATCATTTATGGACTGAACAATTAACCTGGGGTTGGAATGTTGAGAAATACCAACATATAACTACTAGTACAACTGATTAAGTCACTGTAGTGAAGAATATCAATTCTATCTGCTCCTGAAAGATATACTGAAACACCACAAGTTGTGAATAAACTTACATTCCTACGGACCTGCTACATTCATGTTTGTGAAATACTGACACAAGATCTCAGCTTTTTTGGGTTAGGGAAGGACGGCACTTGTACACTTTAACACGATCCTTCTTTAGAACCTCAGATTCTAAATTACTTGTAATTCTTTTGTTTGATTATTTAATAAATTCGTATTTTCTCGAATCATATCCAGTGTCCAATATCATCTTGGAGAAACTCTGGCGTTTTACCCTAACTATGGGGAAAACCCCTAAATTATATGATTTTGTGGAAATATTAGGGTTTTCCCCCAGACCTGGGGAGATTTTGTGCCACATTCCCTACACTTACATAAACCTGACAAAACTCCCCAAAATAGGGAGATCGGGTACCTAGGCTTTTCTACTGTCATCAATGCCGTTACTAATTTGCTACTCTGGGATTTCCCTGGTAGTTCCATCTTACTGTGCTAGTGGGGTATGGGGCTTGAACTGATTTACGCGTGTCGCGTCCCACGTTGTATCTGACTAATTACCGTGTACACACAAATTTGCTTTTTAAGACATGAAAGCGTACCGACATAAGATATCGACCTATAGAATAGAGCCTATACACTTAAAATCTACTCACATACTTTGAATGTCGTAATGAAAGCTTAACAAACTACATCGGTAACTTCAAGAATACACTACAGCGACACATGGAGACCACTCAGTACTAGTCATAATAGATCTCAACCCCAGTACGACTTGATGACTGGTTATTTTCGTAAAGTTTAAAGTGGTATATGGCAATAGGCTTGTGATTAAGAACGAAATAACCCACATATAGTTGTTTCAAAAAAGTATCTGTTTGTTAATATTTTTCAATAACCATGCTACCTCTATTTTTTGAAAAAAAAAGAATACGTCTTCCGAAACACAATACAGGATGATACAGCTAGCCTATATCCTGTATGGAAACACATTGTTTTCTACTTCTTTTTCCCATTTCTCGATCTGATGGAAGTGATTTGAATAGATCAAGATTAAACATACCCATGATGATGGACAAAGTAATTGTGCCGTACGCATAAAGTAATTGCAAGCCTTGTATTCCTCTCCATATACTCGCTTACAACGCTGAAAATCTACAAAGTTTTGAACACATTTACTTTGGTACGTTAGGATTATAACACAATCATACTTACGGGGTCTGATTGGTATTTGGAAATCTAGAGTCATATGGAACGAATTCCATCCATCCAAAATTACCCTATGTTTATAATAATCACTTGAACTTGCACTACCGTTTCCATTGACTCGCGACATTTATCCTTAAATTCGTCATAGCTGACCATCGTTTGAAGTGAGCTCAAGTTGATTATGTTCAATATCAGGTGCACAGCAAACTTTGCTTTGCAGAAATAATGAAGTTTTTATTCCCTGGTATATGCATCTAGGTAGTTGAAGGGAGATATGATTCTCAATATATTTCTTCCACAAATTGAAGCAAATTACAGTCTACATAATAACAACAATGATCTCTATTTTAAAGGACAGTGGTAATGTTTCTCGTTGAGTTAATTAACTGTTTTAATCGTAAATTACGCATCAGAACTACTGTTTATACTTTAATTGCATCTACCCTAGTTAAAGTGATATTGTATTGAGTGTTTCGACTTTGCTTTTGTGTATTTATTGCATCGCAGCATACTTGGTCGACTTTTACTTGATTTATTTATTTAAGGTTTGAGAATCCTTTTACCTATCCTGTTTTTGTCACCGTTCTAGTTGATTTTCAAGATGGTTAGATCCGCTCATAAATGTGGACAACCATGCTGCTTATTTCCCGTGGAGGAAGGGATGCAATATGATGAGTATAATAAGTGGTTCCATAAGACGTGCACCCGATTAAGCCCCACTGCATATAAAAGGTGCTCAAAGCCCAACTCTCATTAGCTTTGTAGTTTTTGTTGCTCGAGCAAAATATTGCTTATCCAGGAAGCAATTAGTCTCATGGTGTTGCCTAATAAGAAGATTGATGAGGGCTGTACTGGTAACCTTGGTACTGATGGCGAAGATTGCGTTAGTGTCGTAAGTGCTGTCACGGCGCAAGCCAGACATCTAACTGTGCAACCCGCTATTAAACGGTCTACCCCGAAACAATCAATGAGTGACATCTCATTAGATATTAATGGCCATTTTGCTACAGCAGCAACCGGTTACCCAACAATTACTGTCCTGAGTGGTTCTAATGTGGATGCTACGACTGATGGAATATGAATGACACGGCAACGCAGAAGAGTAAGAAAGACAGCTAAAACTAATGACCTTTTACCTGATAAGTCCTTGGTGGACTCTCAGACTACTCCGCCAAAGTCCCATAGTAAAGATTCGTCTAACATTGTTGAGAGTCACTCGCTCGACTCCCAGGACTCTGTTAAAATAAACACTAATCGTAAGATACCAGTAGTTAAAATACAGGATCTAACGTCACAGTCGAAAGCTGTGAATACAGTTTCAAAAGAAGCTAAACCCCTCCATAGTTTAATTATTTGGAATCTAGAGGAGTCGAAAGACAACGACCCTGCTAGAAGACATGCATATGACCTGCAGTTAGTGGAGTCTGTGGTAAGGAATGTACTACCTGAAGAGGTTTCAGGGGTACATATTACGAAAGTAATACGACTTGGTAAATGGGTTGGAGGCGAGACCCAACCAAGAAGAATCCTGAAGCTGGTTCTCGGGTTTTTTGAAGAAAGAGACATATTATTGAAAAGCGCACTAAAAACTCGTGACTCAAATATCTGTATTCGACCAGATTGGTCGCTTGAGGATCGAATCAAGTGGAAGAATGCCCTTACAGAGTTGGGGACTCGCAAATTGAATGATGAAAGTAACCTTACCATTAAGGGTTTTCGAATAGTCAGGTCTTGGAAGCCAATGCTTCCGAGGTCTGTATGGGTAGAACGATTGATTGCCAAAACACCTTAACTGTGTGCTGCACGAACGCTCGTAGTCTTAGAAATAAAACGTCCGAGCTAAGTCTGATGGTGGAAGAATTATGTCCCGATATAATCGTTGTTACAGAAACTTGGTTCACAGTAGATATAGACTGTTCTCTGTTCATTGCAGGCTATATCTGTGTAAGAAGTCGCAAAGGGGGAGGTATAATATTATACGTTAAGGATCACTTTCGTATACAATCAACCATATCGGAGGATCATACCAGTGGCACATGTGAGGTTGCATGTTGTAAGATTAAATCTAAAATGGGTTGATGACTATAGGGGGAATATACCGTAGTCCGTCTTGTCTTGCTGATGACTTTATCCTAAGACACATCTGTTCTTGGAGTATGGCAGAATGTTGTCTCATCATTGGGGACTTCAACGCACCGCATATCAACTGGATAGAGCTTACAGCTTCAGGTAGTGGTTTCGATAGCGGCCTTTTATCTACCGTTATCCAGTGTGCACCTGTACAATGTATCACAAAACCGACACATATTGATTTCAATCATGATCCGTCACTGCTGAACCTTGCCCTCACCCACCACTGTGAGGATGTCTTTGATACACAGAACCTTCCCCCACTAGTTAACAACGATCACGTCGTAATTCACTTTAAGTTTAGGACACATGGTACACAATTCGTATCTGCTCCACCCCGTCCCAATATCTGGCGAGCCAATATTCCGGAAATCAGAAACTGTGCTATCTCGACTGATCGGTCGGTTGACGCGGATGGATTAATCGAAGATGAATGGAATAAGTTTAAGGCCACATTCGAATCCGTAACGTCGCCGTTTATCCCATGGTCCGCACATAAGCTATCACATTGCCCTCCATGGATTAATGAGGAAGCTGTTAAACGTAGGAAACATTTCTGGGACTTATTCTTGTTGACAAATCATGCACCATTTAAGCGTGAGTACCAAAAATTTCGTAATAACCGTAAGAAAACCATAGCCAAATACCGTACCACTTACGAACGACAGTTAGTATATGATAGCCGTACTTGTCCGAAATGATTGTTTTCGTATGTTGTGATGGTATACCATGGTTACTATTACACAAAAATTCAGAATTACTAGCTCAATCAGATCGAGCAAAAGCTGAGACTTTTTCAAACTATTTTAGCGACGTCTTCTCTACGTTTATTGTAACAAATACTTGTCCCACTCACACCGAGATACCAACCATTGAATCTGTACAGGTGACTGGGGAAACTGTCCTTCCGTTGATAACTAACCTCAGACCTGGTAAGATACAGGGCCCTGACGGGTTACATCCACGGTTACTGTCATTTCTTGCGGACATTATTTCAAAACCGCTCGCGACACTCTTCAACATGTACCTTTCACTCGCTCAACTCCCTAGAGATTGGAAGGACGCTATAGTCAGTCCTATATTTAAGGACGGTCAGAGACAGATAGTATCTAATTACCGGCCTGTCAGTCTAACTAGCATGGTCGCTAAGTTACTTGAAAAGATAATTCGGGTTAGGTTGCTAAGCCACATAGATTTACACAATTTGTTAGCTCCTGAGCAACACCGATTTCGTAACAAGCGTTCATGGTTGACTAATATAATATAATATATTTCTGCATGTGCAGGTACACACCGTTTTTACAGGCATGATCTATAAATTACAACATTTGTTGGTTCACTAAATGTTTCTCAACTTATTAAGTTTATAGTTGTTATAAAGTGAAATCGTAGAGCGCTTGCTGTAAACTATGATCTTGAGAGGACGCGTACATTAAGTTTGTTCCAAACGTCAGAAGTTTCATAGCTGGGCTGTCAGAGCAAGATTCTGAAGAAAAAAAGAGAAACAGAAGAGCAGCAAGGCACTTGGATATCAACGCCAAACGTTGCTTAACATAGTGTGGTAGAACGGACAGAGGTAGAATAAATTAGAATAAATTCATATTATGCCTTGTTAGTGAAATGAAGTCAGAGGCTCCATATTAGAGAATGTACTAATAAAGAACAATGAGTTGTGATGTTTAACAAGTTGGAGTAAGCTCACACGAAGGGAAGGAAATCAAGGCTGGTACAAGGAAAGCGGTTTATAAGAAGAGTGTGTATATAGAGGGTGAAGTGCTAAGAATATTAATGACTACATCTTTGTTGTCTAACGTTTTTTTCCTTTTTTGTTTTTTCGATGCCAGCCACACAATCCTAGTGTAAAAGTTCGAGTTAGCATGTTATAGGTTGTCTTAGTAGAATAGCTAATCTAGCATAATATTGGAAACATGAGTTTGAGTGGTAAACGTAGGAAAACACTCTATATCACAGATTGATTGACTTATTCTAAGTCATGAGGAGCCTGATACATACAAAATGTTCTGTCCCCACAAACATGGGTGGATTGAAAATACGAGGGAGGATTGGACAGCAGCCCTAGATGACGAACTGTCTGTCAATGTGATATTCATAGGTTTTAGCAAAGCATTTTACAAGGTTTCACACGTAGGCCTTATGTAGAAGCTCACGAGTTTCGGAATAATATGTTTTGTACATGAGTGGATAGGAAATTTCTTATGTGACCGCAGACAGAGAGTGAGGGTTAACGGTACGCTATCCTATTGGAAGCCGGTCAAAAGCGGTGTACTTCAAGGCACCATCTTAGGCCCTCTGTTCTTCCTCCTCTACGTTAATGAGTTACCGCTGCTACTTAGGTCGTCGACATTATTGTTTGCGGATGGTGTAAAAATCTGGAAAACAATAAAAAGTGCGGCTGATCATCTGGATCTTCAAGCTGACTTAGAGGATTTAGTTAGATAGGCTCGAGAATGGGGCCTAGAAATCAATGATCGGAAGAGTGTACTAATGCACATTGCATTCAATCGCCGATAGTCGCCGGTTGGACGCCAATCGTTGCTGTCCTTTTTAGGGACCATGTGCAATGGAGATACATATGGACTATTTGAAGGTCGCATGATTCCTAAGTCTATCATGTGATCGAACTCGTTTTTCGCCAACCTTAGCTTTTGGGAGGCTAGTCGGGGTGTTTTAGAGAATACAGGTGATCCTGTAGTCGTGATGTGATGTGTAACGTTGCTGGTTACACACGGTAGTTTCGATCGCGTTTGATGAATCCCAGGATACTTATCGAGTAGCGGTTAATAAAGTGGGTCTGTCGTATGCTTAATTGTGACTGCGGATAATCCGCAACCAAAAAAAGAAATTGCGCAAACGTATAAATTAATGTTTTCTTCTACTAGCCTCCATTTGCGCGTATCGATGATTAGATTATGGTGTTGTAGAAAGTCTATACCAATGATTGGCATAGAACCATCTGCAATAACGAAGATCCAGTGA